CGCTCTTGCCGGCGCCCTTTTTTGTCAATGCTCATCAGTCTTCATCTTAAGTATATACTAAATTGTGTTCTTTTTTGGGATCTATTCTAGATCTACTTCTTTTGCCAAGAAGTCCATATCCTCTTGCCTTCAATGCGCCGATGGCTGCAAGCTCACCAGATTTGCACCGTTTTTCAGAATTTACACTATCAATTGTCTCCCCAGTCGTCAACACTTTTTCTAGCAGATGCTGGGCGCCAGCAACGAATTTATCGCTGCCTGGCCACAAATATGCTAATATCTCTTGCGTTTTAAAGGCTCAGAGCTTCTTTTGCTGCCTTCTTTATGGCAAATTCTTCTGTCTTGGAATATTACAGGAACTATATGACTGCTTTCTATATATCGGGATAATACCTATGCGCGCCTATTTAGGGCTATGTGTGTGTCTATGTGTACAGAACAGATTTGAGCCCATTCCACAACAACAACAATAGCTCCTGGTTAAGCATGGGCAGACATTACATTTCTAATACGGCGAATGGTATTCGTATGAAGTAGGGGCTTGCATCGGTAAATAAAAACAAACGTTACTTTGACAATAGACATTGTAGCTTCAATACTTTATGAGAAATTTTGTGATGGTAATGATATAAAATTTGTTAATTTCGCAGTTGACCCACTCATATAAACATATTACTTAATCATTTTTGTGACATTTAACAGCTTATGAATTGTGACGGCGTTATTCAATAACGTTTATATTTGAATGCCTATTCCCATGCTCTTTTTATTTCATTTATAAATCAAATCAGAACGTGTTATTGGTTTTACATATTAATGCATTTGGTGCCTCCAGTTCTTCATCCATTAGAAACTCTCGACACAGCAGTTAAATGCCACAATCCCGTTTCCTTTGTCAATATGTCACGGCTTCCCTTATTGATTACATCGCCAAACACTTCCTTCGCATACATTTTGACTCATTGTTGCGCCAATTTTTCGCTTCATTTAACGCAATTCTTTTGCATTTCGTTTCTTCGTTTTTGTCGTTTTTGTGGGTTCAACGTTCAGTTCATTTTCTTCTCTTTTATACTTGTATTTTTCTTTTTGCACCCTACAAAGAATATATTTAAATATATTTGGTCCCATTTCTTCGGCATGTCTTGCCGTTTTTATGCCACTCGATGGCGTTTGCCTCAGCATTTCATGCGACATTCAAATTTATGAGCATATTTGTGTATCATTTATTGATTTTCATTTATTCATAAAAATTGGTTTTTGACGTGTTTTTTATGGTCACATATTTGTTAATCATACGACATGTTGTCGCACAAGCACCATAAAAATCGTATACTTGTATTTTTATTTGTGGGTAGGTAGGGGTGTGTGCTTTTAAGTGCTTTGCGCTTCTTAGACAAATTAAATGCGTTAATAATGCATATGCCATTTTAGCTCTGCGCACATAAATAACATTGATGAAGCAGTTTGGCTTCACATCCATGTGCACACAAATAGAAGCACACTTGTTTGTGAGAGTGTGTATGTGTAGTGAGAGATACACGCACATAGTTGTACCAACTGAAGTGACTCCGAAGAGCGTCATAATTTAGGTGGCATTAACACTTCAAACGTTAAGAATCGCATGTAGCATACGCGCAATTTTCGCATTATCATGCGGTGCCGTCGCGGCGTCCCGGTTATTGAACAGACACACTAACTTACTCGCAGACACACCCACTTCCACGCACCTCACACGGAGGCAAACAATCACTTGCGGTAGGCTTAAAGGACGCCGTTCCGGCAGACGTTGAGCACCGGAGGCATTTTCGGAAAGCAGTTGGTGTAATTCCTTGCCTTTTATAGTAAAATGTTAATAATTCACATCATTCTATGTAATATAGGTGCCATAAGAACGATCGGCCATAATTGTCTTCAGAAAAGTATATGTGTTTGTGTGTTTCTGTTGAAGCTACAATGCTATATACCTCACAATATAGTACATGCGTAGCATTGTACAATGGGATAATCATTTGCTCCTTACAACCTCATTCTCATCGGAGTCACATACTATACTATACATAGCAACAAATAGTTAGCTACTTGTATTTTCTTTCGCTGTACCGCGTCCCGAACATCATAAAAAATAAAATGATTGCCACAAAGTTAGGCGCTGCACGTGTAAAAGTTTTGCCATTACTTTCAGTTGAAACAGCACGATGGTGGAGAGCTGCGGGTAGCTACTCGTAGAATTAAAGGGTGGCACTGTCATTAATGGGTTTTTATGAGAGTGTGCGCTGCAGCCAAGCTTTAATTTGTGGCCGCAAGCAATTTGCCACGCATGTTATTGAGTTGTTTGTTTGTTTGTTTGCCTGCTTGTCTAACCCATTGATATGTGTGGCATGACAGCCGCGAACAACTGATAGCTAAGAATAGCCGAAAGCAATTCGAATGCCATAAATCAAATGATATTATTTTTATTTTGCTACCCACCACAAGCCCCTTAAATAATTTCGTTAAAGAAGCCATATAGACAGGCTGGCAGGCAGGTAAATAGTAATATTCGCTTAATCTTAATTAATCTGTTGTATTGCTGTATTGCAGTTTTAGCCGTTAACAATGGTAGCACGAAAAAAAGTGCTGAAACACCTTAGCCTCCCGCACAAAAGGGCGAGCAGACAATGAAGCAGAAGTTAATGCAAATGACCAGGCAAGTATTCGTGGCAATTGACCGACCGACTAACCAATGCCATGGCATGGACTCATAAAAGTTTTCCATTCCAACCGAATTGCTGTCAAATGGCGCTAAATTGAAACCAAGTTCAAGTTCAACTTTTGTATATGTATGTGTGCTATATACATACATAAAGGCGCGTATGTTACGCTCTAACATTGCGCTGTTCACATACTGTTGCCGGACTGCGAACTTGAGTTGCTGTTAAAGCAGCTGTTGTTTGTTTTCGGCATGGCAGCCCATGGGGCGCATGAGTGATATTTGTTCGTACTTATTACAGTATGCCACATGGAGGCAGTGCACACGCATTGCGCTCACATACTAGAGGTATGCATGGCTGCAATCATTTGCTTTGGCTGAAGGGTTATATTTTATTCTTACTAGTTTATTAGATAAAAGGACTCTGGTAGTAAATAATTGCACTAGAACACGCAAGCGCAACATTTTTCAACAAACATCAAGTAAGACGAAAAGCAGCATGTATGTGCCAAATGAAAACTGTGGGTTACGTATGTATGTGCAATGTAAACAGAGTACATCTACAGAGTACCCTCAGGACGACACATAGTTTCAAAAACATTAAGTTGCATCGGGATTCTGTCTATGTTGAACTAATGCAACAACTATAGTTACTGGACAGAGATTACATGTATGCGTATAACTTTCTTTAGGGACATATCAAGATTACCTTTTGGGTACAAATGCATTCCTCACGAATATTAATTTAAATAATCAAAAAATCTTAAAAAGAAACAATATACTTGTACAAAAAATTGTATAAATTATGGCAGTGACAGTATTATTAACCCACAAATGGTTTATATTAAGTGTTCACATTTTGTTAAAATTCTATTATAGGCTGCGTAGAGATTTATTTGTCATTTCTAAAGAATAAAACGAATCGTACTTCGAAACGGATCCTTTCACCATTCAAATGTTATTCGGCCTGTAACTTAACAATAACATTTTGCCTCTTAAAATGCTATTTGAAACAGTTTCAAATATTTCGACGTTCCCTCGGATCACACGCACATTGATACGAGTACACACGCATGCAAACACATACAAATTTATATTATATACATATAATCGAAACTTTTTATCGACGCGCCCGCACTTGGCAAACTTTTGCATTTCGCACGCGCTTAAAATTACTTTACAAAATGAACGACGAGCGCCAAGGGGCGACTAAAAGGAGCCCGGATTGGGTCTGAGGATGGAGTCGAAGCATGTCCAAGTGGTAATAGCTGGCGGGCACAGAGCGAGACTTTCGCTGCCATGACCAACTAGGAATACGATACATTGCCATAAACATAATAAAAGTTTGTAATTGAAACCAGCAGCAATGGCCACGTGAAGTTAACAGCGCCGAGCATTTAATCCGCCACTCTTCCTCCCATCAGAAATTGGCCGAGGGTATGAGAGATTTGTGCGCTCGTGCAAACAGCTGATTAAGTTAGCAGACAGTTTTGTATTTGTTCGCCATCATTAATGTTGTTGTTGCCCTTTTCTTGCGCTAATTATTACTACAGTCAGCGGATATTCAATTCGTATTCTTACAACTGGATTGATTTTTAAATGTTACGCGCTCACTGGAAAATCATTTTACCATGTTACTAGAAAATTAAAATGGAAATTAAAGTCTTAAATGCATAATAATAGAATTAAAAATAGCAATTCTTTTCAACATGGAATTGAGTTGCTGTATAATTGCTTCTCGGAACAAATTGTTATCAGAAATTTCCAAGTTTCTTACATCGTCAAGGGGGCTTATACTATACTATACTGACAATGTTACCGACTATTTTGTTATCGCTATCAGCGAGCGAAAATATATAGATTATTGGAACTTTCAACTGCAATCTTATGTCATAAATCAGAATATGTTTCATACAATACAGAATATTCAGACAAAAAACAAACGAATTATCAAAAATATAAAAAGTGGAAACACCCAGTCTTTCTCAAAATAAATGGTAACACAAAATTATAAATAAGAAAATTTGTATAGACATTGGCATATGTTTGTGTACCAGAAATAAAGCGGATTTCTTAAAAACTTAATACATGTATGTATGTACATGTCAACAAACAATTATAAACCTAATATCAGTAAATAACAATAAAATTACAGGGTATAGCTTTGGTCGTTTAGCAGTTGAAAGTACAGACCGATTACGCTAATCAAGAGAGACCCCCTTACATGTTTTATTACCGCCTGTCGATTTTATCAGCACTGAACAATAGGTTTTTAGCAAAAAGTGATTATGAAGCCCGAACATTTCAGCAGCGGCATTTGCCTTAGGAACAGGCCGATCGTCGGACGAAACATAAATTTGTCACTTATTCAATGGCTCGAAACTGGTGTGTTCTGGCGATTGCATTGATTGCTCTGGGCAGCAGTCAAGCGTTGGGTAAGTATTGGTTGAGCAGTACACTTTAGAGCAAGAACAATAACTCGATTACACAGAATGTTACGTGTGCGATTCCGACAATGCAAAGTGCATCACAAATGTGGCGAGTATCGACAAGGAAACATGCACGGAGGACGAAATCTCTTGTTATACGAAGTCGGGTAAGTCTGGGGTCTAACTCTGTAGCTTCTGAAGTGATTCAATCAGTTTTACACCAATATTCCAAAGTCTAAGATATAAACTGGTTTTCATTTCTTTATAAAACTTTCCTCTTTTGTGTTCGTCTATGCGCGCAGAATTTTTGATTACAGAATTATTGAAAGTTGAGTTTAGTTTTAGGGCTCATTCAAATGAACAAAAGCATCTTTTTAATTAATTTTTAATTTAATTAATTTGATCAATTAAGTGAAAATGTAAAAAATAGTTCTGCAAAGACGATAAAAATGACAAATGAACAAAAAAACAAAAGTCAAGAAAAGCCCCTTATGAGAAAGGGAATATGAAAAAACACAAATATCTCCGATATCAGAATTTATGAAAATATTGATTGATTGATTTTGTGATTATATCCAGATATAACAGGCAAAGTGACACGAGGCTGTCTAGCTAAGGACGATAATAATTGCTCCTCGCCCGATTGCTTTCAATGCAGCGACAGTGGCTGCAACACGCATCCAATCTGCAAGAAGTGTGAAGCCTCTGATCCTGACTGCTCACAGACTGATGCCAAAGCGGACGAATATAATCAAGTTTGTGAGCTGGGAAATATGTGCGTTAAGCAACTGAACGATGCCAAGCGAGTGGTTCGCGGCTGTGGCGATGGGAAGAGCTGTGAATCGAATACAGAGGCCTGTATTGCGTGCGTGGGACCGAACTGCAATGAGGGAATCTATCCGGAGTCCCGCCTACAGTGCTATCAATGCGAAAACTGCAATTTCCTTAACAATAACAGCTCCATGCCCTGCTTGGTTTACGACGACGCCGAGAAGTGCTACGCCAGAGCCGAGAGCGCAGATACCATGCAGCGAGGTTGCTTTTCGGACCCGGCGGCCAAGTGCAGTGCCAGCACCACCGATCCCAAATGCTTGTCCTGCAACGAAAATGGCTGCAACAAATTGAAGTATGAGCGCAACGTCGACTGTTTCCAGTGCTCAGATGCCGACAGCTGCGCCGGCAGTCAGGCGGAGAACATTGTCCCGCCCTGCAGTAAGCCGGTAGGGTATGCTGAAACCGATGTGTGCTACACACAGGTCAAGGATGGCATCACGTATCGTGGTTGCTTTAACGAACGCGACAGCCAGTTGGGCGAATGCAGCGAAGCAACCAGCTGCACTACCTGTATCAGCAAAGCCTGCAATTGGGAGGAAACTGGGAAGGTACAGGACTCAAATTTCACTTGCATTCGTTGCCGTAGCGATAATTTTGCTGGATGCCGGGATGCTGCGGACAAAATTGGTGGCGAAAAGTGTACAAAAGAGTGCACGGACAACAAATGTTTTACCGGCACATGGGGTGGGTCACTTATAGTACACCATCTTGTTTCAATATCATATCAATCCCCTACTTCAATCCCTACTAACTTGCTCCTCTCCTACAGATGGCATCGTTGTACGTGGTTGCTTGTGTGATGCGACCCATCAGATGGTCCATCAGTGCACTGACTCGAGTGACGATACCTGCGATGTGTGCGAAGGTCCCAATTGTAACACGAAGGCCATTAATAATGCCAGCGCTTCGAAGCCTATTGCCCTCATGCTAAGTGTTTTAGCAGCGATCTGTGCCGTACCAAGATTGTCATTAAAATGAAAATTTCAATAAATTTCGTAGTGAAAACAGGGGTGAGTATTGGCGAAGCAGTCACTTACACCACCTCATTTCTCACCAATCCCATATTTTAATCACTATTTAACTTCTTCCTTACTTGCAGATCGTGTTTGGTTGCTTTCTCTTCCGTACCTTGAAATTGAGAAAACGCCTATTTACATACAAGTATAACTTAAGAACAGACGGTTTTGAGGGATTTAGTAATAATGGTATTCCTGCATGTGATTTAGATTTGTAATAAATGTATCTAAAAGAATAAATCATTTCCATTCTATAAATTGAACGGAAAAATTGTACCGAAAGCAATCGCTGAAATACTTGTTGAAAGGGAGGAAATCCAAAGAAGTGGCGCAAAAACCTAAGTCAATTAAAAACTAGTACTACTTACAGTTTGTCAAACATTTTGTTAGTCGATAACATTTATTTTACATAGAATAAAAGCCCTCATTTGATTGCGCTAGTGTTTTTAAAAAATAATTCATACAAAAACAATAATTCGACTTTCCAACTATTTATATTGTATGCATTATTCCTAACAAACACTAGCGCAGCAAATGCTGCTGCATATAATTTAATTCATAGTTGTTTTACCCATCTATATAGTATTATCGGATAGCAATATTTTCTGATGGATCAATCATCGAGTTCTTGTGTAGATGAAACCTGCTTACAAATGCATAATGTATGGCAGTGAATTTATGTTCAATATTAAATATTTTTGAATTATGATTTGTTAAAGCAAGAAAAAGATTTTTTTGGGAACCACAGAGAACCACAGTTTCTTACAAAAGATCAGTAAAAATAAATTAATGCGCTACCCAATCTCTAATTGTCCCTTTCTTGGTGTGAAAAAAAAAACAATGTATTTAATAAGCACATACATTTTTATGAAATTTCAAGAACTTTAGTTGCTTTTGCAGATCTATTACTAGAGGAAGTATCAATGATTCTTTGTATAATATCTTGATTTCTTCCTATTAAAGGCCCTTGATATGTTTAGCATATTCATAGAGGTTGCATTGCCTTCAATGTTATGTATATTCGGATATAGTATGTACCAATGTGGATTTTCCACAATTTCAATGACTTATTGGGAACAAAGAGCGTTCATGGCCATGCGCAAAAACATAAGACAAGACCGGGCGGGTGTAGTCGTAGGCGCCGGTTCAGTTGGTGAGCAGCCGAGAAATGACTTTCCAACAAACGCAGTTACAACTAAAATCCATAGCTCAGAGTCTCAGTCGCCTTCACTGGCACGGCAACACACGAGTACAACAAACTTTTATGCGAAAACTTTTAATGAGCATTTGAACGGAAATGTGTAAAATGAGTTTTGGCTTTTCCAATATATTTAACAGCAGCCGCTCTAAACACAACTGCACATAAGGACATGCGTGCATTCGTATCAAGGACATGCCTAACTAGCTAATAATTAATTTAGTCAGCTGCCAAATGCTTCCAAATATAAACTCGTGTGCTTATGACGTCCACTCAGAGACTAAAGCGGCTTTTTAACTTCTGCATTGTCTGTTGCATGAACAAAACGACAACAGCATCCTCACTAGAAAGAAGAACCCAAAATTACTTTAGCTGGTTGGCTGAACGCGCAGTGGGCTGCGGTTGGCCCGCAGTGTAAACACAATTCAATTAACTCGTCGCTTGTCGACGCTGCGGCTGCCGCTGCCGTTGCCGTTGCCTCTGCCTCTGTTGTTCTTGTGGAATGGTTGACTGGCTATGATGGCGCGTCGTCCATTGTTGTGACGCGGCAAGGCTGCAGCGCTAAAATAACTAAAAACAACAATATTTTTGCCAAACGACAAGCTGATGGGCGATGTGAGTGCTGATACTGATGCTGATGCTGATGCAGGGAGAGGGGTGGAGTCGCTTTCATAGCCAGGCTGCAGTGGTGTTTGTGCACCGGGGTTGGTTGCATGCAACAAGCCACAAATTGTCGCACAACATGAGGCTGTGGCCCAGCACCACATTTGCATTATTAAAATTTTCATTTTGGCCAGAATTATCTACCGCCACATAATTGGCTTAAATATGTAATATTTGTCAGCAAAGGGGCAGGCCTTTTGGCAATGCAGTGTTAAGCTTTAAAAGCTACAAGATTTAATGAACTGCATAGAGCAAAAAGCCTAGCAAATTGCCCAAGACCTAAAGACCAAAGGCAATCTGAAGGTTGTGCTCATTCATCATAACGGCACAAAGAGCCATCATGAGACATTTAAGCAAAGAAGCAGTTGAAGTGTAAAAGTCATTGTCAGTGCTGGCACTCTGCTCCGGCTATGTGGTCGTCTGTGTGTGTGTGTTTGAGTGTGTAAGTACGCGGCCCCTTGGGAAGGAGATAGAGGAGTCGAAGCATGCGTAGCACAAGTCAAACAATGGAGCATGTTGTCCTTTCGTATGGGTAAATTTCTAGTAATGCTGAGGTGACTCTCCTTTTATTTAATTCAATTATTGGTTAAGCTAAAATATTTAAATGAAATATGTACATATGTACACCACAAGTGTACCAGTGGTATAGTGTTTAAGATCTTGGTATGCTGCTGGAAAAATATCTTTAACGTTCATCCGGTTTTCAAAAAATAACCATTGAAAATATTCTACAACAAAATTATTGAGTTGTTTTTCTGATCCAATGTTTTTCCATATGAATTGGAAAAGATTAATGAGTTCAAATTTCAATGCTCAAGGTATTCGGAAAGTGGAATGCTGCCCCGCTCAAACTAATATTAGGTCAAAAATTGTGAGTACCACGGATACTCAGATAAAGTAGTGTCACTTATCCAAAAAGCGTTTCATATCTTTCCTAACACAATAACATTAGCATTTTCTTTGCATGTAATATCACATAAAAAATGAGTTTTTCTATATGCACAAATAGACAATACAATTTTAAGAGGATATTATTTAAAGTCACAGGAATAACAAAAATCAAATAAAAATTTGAACTTTAGTTTGATTTTACGTTAAAAAATAATAATAAAACAAATAGTCATTATTTCAATAAAGTATCGCTTAAAAATGACGCCGAACAGTTCAATAAAATGTTTTATGAATTACTTTGTTTCAATAAAATACAAATATTTTATAAATTACTCTCAAATATTTGTGAAGCTATGTATATAATTGACTGATTTTTTACCATTCATCACCTATTGCAAGAAAATCTTGTGTACAAACTGTGCGCTAGCAACCATAAACTGTTAACGATATATTTTGGAAAATTTAGTATTTTGTTCAAGAGTGTATAAACAAAGTATGGCGCGTTCTGCGACTGTCTGCTTGTGACACTTTGGCAAGCTGAAGGAAATGCGAAAGGGTACAGGATGCCAAGGTTGTGGTGTGCCTTGAAGTGTGACTTTGATTTCAGTTTCGAGCGCTGTTTTGGTGCTTGGGGCTGGATTGTCAACGGCTCGGTAGCGACAATGGCAACGACATTCCAAGCACCACGTGACTTTGCCAAGAATAATGATTTAATTTTCTGCCGCATACATTTTTGACAATCTCATGGCTGACAGTTTTTGGTTAGCCGGCTGCTTTCCTGCATTGCGCAGTGCTTTGGACATAAAGTCCTCTGAAATCGATCAGTTTTTATGCTGCTTAGCTCTATATGGCAGCTAACAATAAATTGATTGAATTCCTTAAAACTTAATAAACTCTATTTGTCTGCTTGCAGCAGCTACAAAGACAATTTGTTGTATGTTCTGTGGGTAGGCCCTACGGGGATTTGTGACTTGACTTGTGTGCTCACTGGAGCATTGACAAACACTATATTACATATTTTGTTTCAATTTTCTTCAGTTTGCTATCTCTAACTAACAGATAAATAAGTGTTTGTTTCGAGTCTTGTATGTGTGTGTGTGGTGCTTACGATTGCTATCAATAGTTCGTTAAACTGCCCTTGTGGAATTCTCAGTTTCAATTGATTTGCACCAGCTTTGCAGCCTATCTCAAACCATATAATGTCAAGCAATTTAAGTGTTTTATTTTCACACGACATCAGATATTTTAATACACTATTTTACAGTTTAGTTAAGTGTCAGCTCAAGACTGTGGGGAAAGTCTAAAGAAAACAAAGTGGCAAACTAGCAAACATTAAATAAACTGTGATAGCATCTCAGCCAACAGTTTTTTCCTCTCAAATTTTATTGCAAATATAATATGTACGGGTATGTATCAGACGGCCCTTTTCAAGCCCCAACAACTGCGACGCACGCATTTGCATATCAAAATGTAATAAGCAAAAATCAAATATAAAAAAATGGAGCTCAGATACTTGTACATGGGAACTGTGACACGGCTTGGTCAGGACGACAGGCACATCAACAACAAAACAACAAACAGCACAAAATTGATTATGCGATTTATTTTTTTGGCATTTTGTGTGATGTGTTCGGGCTTCTTTTTTGGCCACACTACCATTACTCATCAATTTTGTCAACATGTGGGTGGGTGTGAGAAAGCAACGCCATATATTTTGCTTGAAAATAATATTGACTATTTTATTGTGCAAATAAATAATGCATTGTGTTGCTCTGAATGTGTGCGTGTGTGTGTGTGTGTGTGTGTGTGTGTGTGCAAACGCATTAGGAGCCTTCGACTGGCTTGGCAGACGCAAGGCAAGTTGCTGACCTCGTCCAAGCACATATTACACGACAAGCTAGCTGATTTATTTGTTGTGCGTTTCAACTAAACGTGAAGTAAATATGTAAATACATGACATTCTTATGTATGTGTATGCTAGTGTTAACATTTTATAAAGCGGACTAAGTAATGTGCTTGAATGAATTTCTAAAAGTAATTAGAAAAGTCCTCGGGCCATTGAGAAAAGTCGCAAATAACAAATAACAACAAATCCGAATTATTCACACAGCATTTAAATATAATTCAAGAAAATTTATTAATAATATATGTACAGACGAATAAATTTATATCACACACTATTTGTTTTAAGCTTCAAAAGGTAAAATAAATTATTTTGGCAACACATTTTAGGAATACACACAAATTATGAACGTTTTTTATTGATTTTAAATTTGAAAGCTAATGGACACAGTAAGACGCGAACAAGCACGTGCAGAGCACGCCTTCGAAAAAGAGCAGATCAGGCATGGAAAACTTTACGAGAATATAATTAACCTGCTGGAGGAATGCGTCGACATGGTAAAAGCCCCTGAATACACCAGTTGTCATGAATATCTTTCCTTAAATAGATATAAACAGCCTTCAACTCTGCCGTCTATCCACAAAATGAAATTTAGATCAAGCAACCTTCTAGGTAAGAAACTCAAAAATCCCCTTCTTTATTCGGCCCTGTACACTCTCTTTTCAGCTTTATGATTACGATGTTTTATTTGTGATATATATTTGCATATTTTCTCATCCTTCTCGTTTCCATCCATACTTGGCACCTTTTATAAATAAAATACCTCATATTTATTAATAGTCTCCACATCTGTATACGAAAATTGCGGAGTGCCACTGGAAAAGAAACAAGCAATGACCCGTCTAACAGCCGGTGGTCCTGGACCTGGGGGCGGGGATGTCCGAGTGCTGCCGATATCCCCACAGCCCAATGCCCCAGTCCAGACTCAACGACTGAGCTCAAAGAATTATGAAAAACTGTTTGCTGCGCGCTTTCCAGAAATGGAGCCTCACGAAAAAAATGACACACCAGCGGTGGTGAAGACAACAAAGATGGTAACTCGTGACAAGGAAAGCACCACAACACCATCGCTAATGGCGCCAGCACTTGCCCTCCACACATCCACTCCACTCATCCAAGAACCGATCTCATTGCCGCCATCCGTGCCGATTAAACTAAATGTGGAAACTCAGGCCGACTTTAAAGAATCGCCCGGTTGTAAGGAGAAACGGGAAACAGATGGTCTGCCGCGAACTAAGCGGTCAAGGATTACAGTTCCATCGCCCTATCGGTCGTTCCAAATAGATGAAGACTACACTTCGAAGGACGATTATACACCGAAGGAAGAAAAAACACCGACATCAAGACCGCAGCGAAAGGAACGAGCAAAAGAAGCAACAGAGGTCCTTAGGCCACAGCTATATGAAAAGGCAACTCAAAGCGATGAACAGCCTCCGGATGAAACAAAAAATGAACTTTCTGAGCTAAAGGCCAAATATGACGATCAATCGGTGTATGTAAAAAAACTGGAGGAAGAAATTGACAGGCTGCGAGAAAAAGTCATATTTCCAGCTCCGATGGCTCAGCAGCGTTGCCCGCAGCTTGAACGACAGAACTCCAGCATTTGCGAATTCTGCAAGGATAAGGAATTGCCTTTGTGTGAAAATAATCTTCATCATCACATGTTCAGCTTTATTGGACTCCGGCATTTTAACGAAGTCGTCCTCACGGTTTTGCTCCGCTCCGATAACATCTACCACATTAATGTGCGGGAGCTTAAAACTGGCAATGTCCTGGGCTGTGTTCTGGCCACTGATGCTGCCATCGAAGAGGCCATTCAATTGAATATGTTTGAATATTTTCCAACCTTCTGCGTGACCGATGTGCGCAACACTTTAAAGCCACGCGATTGTCCATTTGGCATGAATTTTGAACTCGTCCATGAGAAGAGGGAAGATGCAGGACAGGTGTCATCCAGTCCCAAAGATGTCATCACGCTATATGAGAAAAAGATTGCCAATCAAATAAACACACCACCCACGAGCAATCTACGCGCCATGTTTTCTGTAACCAAGACCCATGCCGTACCTATACCGCCTTACCGGAGCCGTCGCCGTCCAGCGGCTCTTAAGATTTCCGTTATTAACAGCAAATATGTGTTGAGAGATGACGATGACAAATATCCGGTGCGAAGCATCGAAGTATCCTCCATCACCGACTTGGTAGGCAGTGGAACAAAATTCAAAAACAACAAACACAATAAGCGTAGGAAAACAAAGCTTCGGAGTCCCGTAGAGTGATTGTTCATTTAGGATTATAACGTTTAAATTAATGTGGAAAACGATTTAAATAAAATGACACGCTAATTTTAACATAATTACATAATTGAATTGGAAATGTCATTATAAATAGGTATACTACTTGTAGTTTAGTACGATAGACAGACGCCATAAAACATACTTATTCCTGATCAGTATGTCAAGTTGCGTCGACATGGCCATGTCCACCCGCCTGTATAAACACAATAATCTCGGGACTATGAGTGTTCATCTAAATGTGTAAATAAATTAAGCAAGTATTTGTCTCTTGTATTCCTTCCTTATTCTTTACTAAAACTGTGAAATAGTATACACAAATAAAGAACTCATTTTGTTCGAGTCAGTATTAATTTAAAAGAAAATGAACATTCAAATCGTTGCAGTGTGTTAGAAAATCGTTACTTAAATTAGTTTAAATGAGACGTTGCAGGAATGCCCACACTGTTTAATTTATTACAATTGGGTGTCTATCGATAATAAGAAAGGGCGCGCAAAAGAGTTGCAAACAGGCGGGCTATAAAGTTTACCTAAAATGATCGCACAAAGTTCTCTGTAGGTGCCTGGTACGAGACGAACCCTTTGCAACCGCACGTGCAGCTGGTCGCACTTATTAGGTAAAAAGGGTTGGGTCGCGGAAAACCCCAGCGAGACAGGTACAAGTACAGTACACCGTGCAATTGGCATAACGTGCGTCTCGATTACTGCTAAAATTTGACCTGTTCAGGCTACTTAAGAGCGCCGCAGAATCGAAGGTATAATCAGTTTGCCAAAGGCAGAGCAAGAAAACACATCGCAAGACACTTTCTGAACCATGAGCAACATTAGCAACGACAGTGGGCTGGATGACTCGGCACATGGTGGACATGGAGGAGCCGCTGCTGCGGCTGCAGCAACACGCATGTCTTGGTTCCTGGCCGAAGTCGACGAGGGATCACTGAAAAATGGACGACCCACTGGGCGCACTGCGCTTTGTGTGCTGCACTCGATGGAGCTAGTCGAATCAGACGTCTCGGACAAGTACATGACGCGCTTCGTCGAGTTCCGCATGAACAATACTATACTGGAGGCGAAACTCATACTCGCAGCCGATGAGCGCAAACTGGTGGATGCGGCACTTGTTGCCATGAGCAAGGAGCGACGATCAGAGGCGGAAGAGCAGCTGCTGTTGGTACAGTATTGCGAGGACAACGGCAAGCGGCTGGTGCATAAGCTGGTGCCGCAGCATAAGGTCACCTGGCTAAGCACCAACAAACTGTTGAAGGGCACGGCGGTAGTGAAGCTCGAGAATGGCTGTCTGGCCCACATTCTCTACGCCTATGAGCAGCGCGACAGAATGGAGAAGGTGCTGCTACATCTGAAGGCGCGCTGTTTTGATCACGCATTCGACGAGCAGTTGGAAGCTGAGCCGCTGCCCATGAACAAGGACACATGGCTCCTCGTACAGTACAGTCCCGAGCCTGAGCTTGTTGTCTACGAAATCATAAAATATAGCGAGACCGTCTGGCAGCAGGAGAACGACTTCAAAGATGTCATTGCCTATATGCAGCTGCCTGGAAGTGAGTTGGTCATGCAGGCCGTTGTCATCAGCTACAGTACGAAGCATGAGCTATTGGAGGCCAAGTATGAAGAGCTGCAAAGGTTTGCGCTTGGACTGGAGATCCCAGTAATAGAGGAACTCGAGCGCCAACTCGAGCAGGGTGGGAGCACGACATCTCTCTTTTCTCGCAGCACACTCTTCCAGCAAGCCCAGCAACGTGACACTACCGGCGAGCACAAACAACTCCAGAGCAAGCTCGAACTGATGACTGAGAAGGCTCAGCAGGAGGCACAAATGATCATCGAAGCATTCGACATGGTTGATAATATCAATAGGAATTTACAAAGCCAGATCGGGCATGCTAATCAACCGGAAGCGACGTCTTCCCATTAGTATAGTACTTATATCATATAAGCTGAAAGCAATTATGTACGCACATTTACGTTGGTTAAAAATCATTGCGCACCATTTTTAAAATAAATGTTTTAAGAAACATACATACAAAAATACATACATAAGTAATTAAAGTATAATATTTGCATACATATTTATACAAATTGTTTTTTTCTGATTTGATAAACTACAGCCAAGATTGGCTCTAGTAGAATAAAAAAGCATTGGCGATTATTTGTGAATGTCACTATACATACATACATATATATGTATATTTACGTACATACGTGCCAGACAGTTGGCAGAAGTAAAGGCTAAAAAATACCAACCATTTTTCCAATTGCTATGATGATGATTATTTGTGGCTACGATTAAGGCTGAATTTTTAATACACGAGTGGCATATGTATGTATGTATTACTCCTGTAAAATCTCTGGTGGGTTTTCTCGCAAGGTTTAATTTTAACATTTCGTTCCGTTACGATAACACGCCTTAATTTCAGCGATATCGATACACACTTTCGATCGAATTTCATGAAACGGTTAATGCAAGCAGGATTTCGCAGGATGCTTAACAGCAAAAGGAACTACAAAGCTGTATATATTCGCAAACTAAACAACATTTCCCAACTCAAGTCAACAATATATGTCAATATATAATATGTACATATATTGTTAGTGGTGGTATGTGCCGCAACTGATGGCAATTTCTCAACTTTAATGATAATAGTGAACAGCTGTTTGAGTTTCTGTTTTTATCAGCAACTTTTTAAGAGAATTTTATAGCAGTGTGTGTATTCAAGAAATTCGGCACTGCACATATGTATGTATGTACATACATCATCTAAAATTTTGCTTGGAAATTCTTTCACCATTGTTTTCGTAAAAATGTTTGTACATACTCGTATGTATTTATGAACGGATCGCCCTGCAAGTATTCAAGATATGTACATACATATATATATGTATATATGTACATATGTATGTACCTTGTCTTGCGCAGTTATTCACAAACTTTTCCAATGTAAGCAAAACTAATCCTCCCTATTGAGTTATACATCCATACACAAATTGTAATTGTGCTCATATTTCTTGAAACGCAACTTTCCAGCCGAGGCACCGAAGTTAATTCGAAGCTTCCGAATCACTCTTTAGTACAGGTTGGTTGGAAATAAATCGGTGAGGCGTAGCTTAAAGCGTTTGCTACTCGTATGTCTGCATTTTGCCATTCCTGCCAATAGTTCTAGCCACCTTGCTTCTTCGTTAATATTGACTTGCTGATTATTTTTATTTGGTGGGCAAACGTTTCAATTGAGACATAAAACTATGCCAGCGCCATTGCCGATGCCGTTGCCGATGCCCATGCCATTGCAAATATAAACATTTGTACACGATTAAGTGTGGGCTGTTTATTTTTATGTTTGGTTTAACGCTTCCGCCGCTGTCAACGTCTCTGCCGCGGCTGCTTCTGTTTCTGCTTCTTCTGGCTGGCTATTCACAGGCCTCCATATCGGTGGGATTTGGTCGTCTGCCATGTGTGCCCGTCTGCGTGTCTGTTGTCAGATATTGCGTATGCGCCACATTAAATGGCCCAGAATGAGATACAGAAGGGCCGCCTGCTTACCCATCTCCTCATGCTTGGGCCTCAAATGCTCTTAATGTAGACAGCTAAACAAAAACAGAAACAGCTGCGGAACAAAACAAAAGCGAGCACCCGCAAAAACATTTCCCAGATTAAAGTGCGCATAAAGTTGGCCATTTAGTTGTATACAACTGCCTGTTTTTCCTGTCGAATGAAATGCAATAAAACATTGGTCAGCACATAAATCAATAAAAACAACACTAATCAAAATATCAAAAGCAGGCATGCGATTTTTTGCAGACGATAGCTGAGCCATGAAATTCAAAAATGACCTGCCAATAGATGTTTGATAAGTGGCTATTAGACAGTTATAAGAGACTGCACAAACAAAATTAGCAATTAAATGAAAGCCTGGAGCTTATGCAAAAACAAATTCTGAACAAGCAAAGTAAAAAATCGAATATTATGTGCAATATTAATGTTTAATATATGTATGTGTACAAAAGTATATCAGATTTAGCAACCAAAAACAAGTTATGAGAAAGTGAAACTCAAATTCAGCTTGAGCTCACATTTACCAAACTTGATATCTTGGTCATTAGGCATCACAGGGCTTTTCCGATTATTTTTCGTTTTTATGTAGATAACTATCATGTTTACATTACGAAACTAGATACTTTATATCTTAAAACTGATCTACATAGTGCCATAAATTAACAATTTTGACAATAATGAAAAAGGTAGTGATGGGTAATATCGAAGAACAATATAGTTTCTTAAATTTGTTGTTTTATGTGCCTTGAAATTTAGATAGGAATTTTGAATGTTGGAAATTTGATCGAAATGGGCGGACAGCCCCTAAAATTAAAAATTGTAAAGCAGATTCTATATTTTTTATACAAATAATATAGTATAGTGGGCTTTTTTTAAATGTCACAAACTTAATTTTTTTAGAAGCAAAATGTTAATTAAATTATTAATTAATTTAATGATGATATCACCTCATTAAAATGTTATTCCAAGCACTGGAGCTATAGCAATTCCCACTTCCTGGCAAACCAGCTGAGCTTTAACTTCCACCTAGAACTAGTGCGTTTGTCAGCAGCAATCTACACAATTTTTCAGGGTAATAAATTGTGATGCGAATGCAGGGCATAAAAAATGATACAGTTAAACATAAAAAAGAACTTTCTGCGTGCCATCCAAAAATTTAATTATCATAAAATGCAAAACAATTACATAAAAAGCATACGCATTGGCACTGCGCGCCGAGAGTCGGGATTGGCACACCCTAGACCACGTCGTACCAAAACATTCAAGACATGGTGCCGAGCAAACAGTTCAGCAATTTTACATTTTCAATTTATGCAAATGCAACTGTAGGAGGAACAGCAACAACCAGTCAGGCACTGGCAATTTAAGGCATGAGCGACAAACTCAAGCCACAAGCTTAAATGCTCATTAGTGCTATCGTCCCTCCAAAAAAAAAAAACCAGAGCCAGAGCCAAACGAGAAAATGAAAAAAGGAGCTCTAAAAAGTTTTGGGGTGCGCTCAAGCGAATTTGATGTTGCCTGCCTGCATATTTACAATTACAATGGCCGCAATGCGTTGAAATTACATTTTTATCTACAGTTGAAGCCTCAACCTCAAGCTCAAAGCCAATTCCAATGCCAACTTCAAGTTGTGTCTCGGCTTAAGCTTAAAATGCAAACTGCTGCGGCTTTAAGTAGTTAAAATAGCAGCAACAACAACAATAATGGCAACCTTCTCTTGGCCAACTGCAGTGCAATTAAATTGAAGTTATGGGTGTGGCATTGGGCAAGTCCTTGCCAATTGAAATGTGCGCTTTTATTGTTCTTCTTCCTTCTGCTGAAAATAAAAAGACCATTTTAATGATGCTGTCTTCCAAGGTATTCAATTAGTCAGTCAGTCAGTGAGATACTCTTGATTTACTCAACACACTTTTGCGATTTCAGAAAAATCTTTCGTGTACGCAATTCAGCTATTTTGTTCCATTCTTCAATGTACCCGAAAACATTATGCAGCAATTTTCAACTAATTAAAAAGTTTGTCTATATATGGGTTGTGAGTGCAAACAGTTGTGGTACAGGGTGTTCGTTAATTGAAAGCAATTGAGTGAAGCACTAACAACAGTATTGGTCGTATTTCAACATTCGTTGCGTCAAAAAGCCAAATGGATAGAGTGCATAAAAAATAACAATTTGTCTGCTTGTCTACTGCTATAGGCGGCCAGGAAGTAAGCGAGTGGGGAAGCCTGTGATGCACAGCAGGATACGTAGACAGGCAGGCGGCTTCCATATGAAGGTGGACGTAATTGAAGGGTGAAAAGTAGAAAGCATGGGCTGTCAGGAGTAATAGGGTGACCAGCATAGGCACAGAGAATTAAATGAAAAGGAAATACGATATTCGTTAAAACTTGTGTTAATCAAAGAAATGGCCCCAGCTATCATATAGTTTTGGCTTCATATACCGTTCTCCTTTACAAACATAATTGTGTATCAAATTTCAATTTTAAAGGGTATAATTAAATGTGTATTATCTTGTGCTCACTAAACTCTTAGTAGATATAAAAAATCATTGTAAAAAAAAAGAAATAAATTATATTTTTAATTTTTCAAATGTAGCGACTCAATGAATATTTCTACAAAAAAATTTAATAATTTTAGAGTTCTCAGCATAGCTGGAATATGTTTTTGGGTGCGAGTTAGATGATAAGATTTTCACACTATCACAACATTCAGAAATGCAATACAATCACGCATTTCTCTATATGTCACCACTTTGAAAAATTGTGCTTACAGTTTTTTTTCAACAGCATAATCTATAAAAAAAATAATAATAGTAGTAATAAAAAACTATTCCTTTTACCTTTTTCGCACAGAGTATAGAAACAAACTACTTATAATACATCTCTTGATGTATAGTACTATTTCAAATGCATAAACTTGCATCACCGCATCAGCAACAACTATACTACTACTACTATACTTTGTTAGGTCCACCAAGCTTCGATTGTCTTTGCACCAAGCCACTATACCCTTTTACTTTTTGGATAATAACCAAACCCAAACCCATGGAACTCCAAGCTGTTACAAATTTAATTTTCTTAAAAGAATTTCATATATATTTCATGTGTTGGCCGTATTTTTAATTGATACTTTTGTTAACTGTTAGTGCGTTTTGTTGCACTGTTATTATTAACAAATAAATTATTAATTTCTTAAAAAGTATTTCAAATGGCCACTCTATTCCTTTGTTAAAACAACAGGCTTAGAATAAATATGTTGATTGAGCTATGGGGCATTTAGTTTGTTGCCACAAAGTTGATTCTGTGTGTATGTGTGCTAATTTTGTAGCAGCGGTCAGCCTTCTATCCGGCTGGAGGGGACATTACAGATTGCATGGTCAGCATTTTAAGCTCCAGTTGTATTAGACACCAACGGAGCAAAGATCCAAGCACTTTGGCAAGTTCATACCTCAATAAATTCGACTTATATTATTAGTCCTGACGTTATGCAAAAATATTTGCTCGCTGTTGCAACTGCTGCAATGTTGTTGCCTCAACTGTGTTCTCACGATAAACTCTGTGGGTAGCCCAGCACTTTAAGAAGATTTGTTCAACGGACTGTCAGCCTGACTATCTGTTACTGTTGTTCGCACTCTAGATTCGGATGTTACGGAGCCAAGCGAAACATTTTGTTTAGCCACAAGCAACGGCCCTTGTTGCAATATAAAACGACAGGCAGGCTTCAACTCAATGAAAAGTGTAGTTGGCCACCCCCAGGAATACTTAAGGCATCTTTATATACATATGTATGTGTATTTTTGATGCAAACATGTGAGTGTGTGTGGCTCTGAACCATCATCGTAATAATTCGCTTATGTCTTGTTATGCTGCCTGGGGTTTCCATGTGTGGCTGAGAATGTGTGTGTGTGTGCTTGTTCCGCCCCCCAACTTGTATAAACACTTCAAATTGTTGTTGGTTTTGGGTATACATATGTATGCAAGATATTTGCCTTGCCATTTTCTGAAGCAAATTCTTTTGATTGCTTTCGCCTTTGTTGTTTTTTGCTTATGAGTCGTCATCTTCTCGCTTGCTTACATATTTTTGTGTTGGCCTTGTCTCTTCTTTGCGTTTCCCTCCCCCTTTCGTTGCACCCCAACAGTGATTTTGACATTTCACGCGCATTTATTTGTTTTTATGCTTTGCATAGTTGAATTGAACTTTTATTTTTTATGACTTCACAGAAACGAAAGGTCAACATTTTGCGCCAATCATTTGGCATTATGGTGGCCTTTTTGGCAGAGCATAGAACAGCAAAACAAAAGCGATAACAGAAATAATAACAGCACAAACAACAGCAATAGGGTAGCAAACTCATTAACATTTGTGCAGCACGTGTTTAGTTGGTCCCCAGCGGCACATTTTGTTTAGAGTTGTTGGGCCTTGCAAATTGATTTTCTGTTTATATTCGCGCTAACATGGCGTATGCGTACTCTTATTGTTATTCTGTAATAAATAGTTGCTCAGCCACAAGAAACAGACGTCCAGTTGCACTCAGTACAAAATTATGAATGAATTTTGCTGCGCAAACGCTCAATAGGCAAAACAAAACTCACTCAAAAGGCAGCTGGCACATCAACAGCTGTTACTGCTTCGAGGCTGTTAACTTTCCGTACAGCCCACTGTTAATGCTGCTGTTAAACTCAGCAGCCTCTGATGGAATTTGAAGAACTCTGTTGTGCGTTTTTGATTTTCAGTTAAACAACAGACATCGAGTCGTGAGCACGCGGCGCGCATGCCACGCGATTTGCAGTTCAAGTAGCGTTTGTTGATGTTCTACATATGTATTTAAAAATACTGCATTGTGGTGTACTCTGATTCCGTGGCGCACATGGCGTATACGCATCGCGAATTGTAACGTTCGGTGAAAGCAAGTGTAGGGTCAGTGTTGTAAATTATGTCGAGTGCCTAACTAAAAAGTTTTAATTTTAAAAATCCCACACATTAACGTACAAGCAGTGTAAAAATTCAGCTACTAAACTAAAAAAAAATTGCAGTAAACATTAAAATATTAATGCTAAGAAATGCATACAAAATTTGAAATAGAAATAATATTGGTCGGAAATAATAATCATTTAGAATTCCAGAAAGGCTGACAATATTATTAGCTTACAAGTAAATGTTTAATGGAAATGGCAAGTACGAGAGAAATAAATAATGATTAAGAGCAAAGCAAAAAGTTATTCTAAAACTAAAGTCGCACAATTAGTATGTATATATTGATTATAGTTCGACACGAAAATATAGTGCACAATTATAACCTAATTAAATAAAGATTGAGCCTCGTCAGAATAAAAAAAATGTATTTACCAACCCCCATAGACCAGTTATTTGGCAATAATTATTAAATATGATAAAAAGTACATTAAAGTTTTGTTTTACAACTCTTCGAATTATATTTTAAATGCTTAAGTTTCGAAAAAAAAAACAATGAAACAAAAACATTTTTTAAATAGTAACAACAACACTTGCATTGGGTTTTCGCAGCTTCTTATTATTTCCCCGTCGCATGCTGCACGTGCACATCATTTTAATTTGGCTTCTCTACGCAGACATCTTGCCACGTTTGTCAACGCCGTTCGGCCGTCTAGAGCTGCTCAGTGTTTGATTTGCATATTGTGTCTTGTTACACACTCACACAATCCGTGACACATAAACCAAAAGGAACAAAAATAAGTAAAAAATAAGCAGAAAAATAGCTGACAAGAAACGCACGCCCCCGGACTTCACTCCATAAACTAACTTCGTGGAGTCCTCTCCATGCCAGCCAAAATAAGCCTAAGCATAAACAAAAAAAACGATAAACATTTTCACCAACACAAAAAGTAAAAATTATCTGACCAAAGGCCTGCGGTTTTTACGGTCGCTCGGGGCTATATGAGGCGCTTGTGACAAGTGACAGTTTGTTTGTTTGTTTGTTAGCCAGGTGGGAGGTGACTGGCTGGCCAGTCCTCCTATCCATTCGTCCATCTCGTTTCGTCCTGCTCATTTATTCTCGTTATTCTCGTTGTCGTTGTTTGATATGGTCGCCTAATTTTTGTGCCGCTTTTATTGTTTGCCCACGAACATGGCGTCATTATTTCGCTTTTCGCTGGCTGCTTTGTTTACACGCACTTTTAACGTGTTTATTCGGCCGTAACGTACACTAATTGAAACATTTCTTCAGCTTCGTATGCATATTATGACCGAGGCGTGCCAGTTAAGCACTGAGTGGCATTAGCCTGGCGGCATGTCACGTTCGTTCCCCACCATTCTCAATCCGCAGCAATCAACGCGCCTTGAAACACTTCTTCATGCAAGTTTTGTGCAATTGCGGTGCACTTGGCACTCGGCTTTTACTTTGCTGTCATTTTGCACTTGTCTTGCCGTCATTTGCGAACGCTCAATGTCAGCCTACATCATCGCCATCGGCATCGTCGCTGTCGTCGCGTTGCCACCATCAGTCATAGTCGTCGTTGCAGGGAAGTAAGTGCAATTGTGGGTTTGCTTGGTTGCGTGTGTTAACTTGTCAGGCATCCTTCCCGTTGCTGGCTTTGTTTTAATGAAATGCAAATGCCACACACAACATTATACTCATCCCCCTTCCCCCTTCAAACATCTATATGGTTTGCCCTTAAAGGCACTTAGCAGTAATGAAGTTAATTTCTCGGCCTCCATCCCAGGACAAGACATAGAGTTGCATTTCGCCTGTGATTTCCTTGTTGTTGAATCCTTCAGTTGAGAGTCCTGCTGCAGGCCTCATGCAGTGCGAAGAATGCAATTAAATATCCAAATGCGAATTGCAAGTTTTAGGGTCTTGTTGTGCTATTAAAGCTATATTTATCATAATTTTATTTCTGTTAAGCCTCAAGTGTGGTGCTGGTATTCAAATGTAGACAAGTTTGTTGCTACCGCCTGACACAGGTTTAGAAAGCAGGCACATAAATAAATTGGCAAAATTTTTCTTTACGACAGGCAGCTGCTACTTAGCGCTAAGTTGATGGCGGAGTTGACTTAACATCCTGGCCATAAAAACAGATTTGTGCATAATTTCAAAAACGTTTTGGGATTTGCATGGCTGGATGGTCGACGCTTTAAAGCCCATAAAAGAAGTTATGGTCTGACATTAAGCGATATGCTTCAAGGTATTGTTAGAGGTGAGAAGTAGCTGGAATTTGTTGCAAAATATATAAGCTGATTATCTTGATAGCCTCCGTTATGCCTATAGTATGTAAAAAAAGATAAATTCCCTAAAGTAAAAATATGCAGTTTAAAATATTATATCCTGTTTACATCTGCAAAAAATTATCTGTAGTACAATTTCGCTTCAAAAAAATTAAAGCTATTTACGATAGGTTACAAGTACTGTAGGAAGTAAGTTTTGTAAAAGAAAAATACAAAATTATATAATACAAGAATACCGAAAATTTGATAAATTATACAATAAAGTACTCAATTGTAAAGAGAAACTGCCTTCGATCAATCTCAGAAAGAGTCTACAAAATGTAAATAATTGTTGTAAGCATTTGTTGATTACAGAAGAGATTGTTTCTCTTTAAAGGCAAATTAATGGGTATTCTATAAACCTCTTATTGATCACTGGAATATATAAATATGTGTGAGTTGTATTTCAATTAAGATTCTTTGAATGAGCATTTAGGCTAGATACTCGTATATTATAAATGAAATATTTTGATTTAATTTAAATCGGCGGACGACTATTCATATTAGTGATATTTAGGTAAAAAATTAGAGATTGAAATTGTCAGATAAAAAATGTTGTATGTAGCAAACGATATACGATAACGATAAACGGCTATATGCAGCGTTTCGTCGTTGAGCCTCACTACTGGCCAGTGCTGTCATTTTAGCTTTTTCCCCGCTAGATTAAATTGAAATAGCGGGTTGCGGGAATTCCAGATTGAAAAAAATTTATTAAGCCTTTTTCTAGCTTTACTTTATTTTTCACCATATATTTTTTGCCTTATCTTTGTCATTATAATATTATAATTATATTAATTCATTTTCAATTTAAGATACGGACTTAATCGTAATACCAAAATTATCCTGACGAAGCTGTGAGTTTAGATGCACAACTGTAGAATTTTTAGCTTGATTTAAATGTGAATTTTTTACTATTTTTTTTTTACAAGAATCTCATATTATTATTATAAAGTATGAATTAAGAATATAGAATTAATATGAACCCATTAAAACAGATATGTATTTCCTTCAATTTAACCAAGAAAATAGTGTTTTTAAAGCCGGCTTGTTTTTTAGCCTATTTTGCCTTTGATTTAGCTTTTTAAGCTTTAGTTTTTTGGCAATCTAGCTGTTTTTGATCAAAAAATTATGACAGCAGTGCTACTGGCACCTCGCCTGTTTTTAGCCTTAAACATTCTTTGGTGCAGTGGATTAAGTTCAATGCTTCACTTTTTGACCCAATATTACAGCAGATGAAGGTATTTTTGCACTCTGTCTACCGTCTCATACTCGCGGAGCGCCGAGAAAAAATAACAAACGTCGCCTCCATACGATACCAACAGAAATTTGGGACTGGGTGTTTCTGTAGTAACCACACCGGGGGAAGAAAATATTCGCCATGTAAATGAAATACAGGAGCGGTCCCAGCATGCTTCCTTAAAGCAACTGCAATGCGTGTCGCTGATGCGTGTTCCCTGCCCCTGACATTTGAGATAATATCACATTTTACACAACTTTTAATTTAATTCAGATTTCGTATTCGAAGCCTTCAAAAGGAAAACTTGAAGGATTACCTAACTAACATTCTGCAGTTTTTCAAATTAATTGATATCGAAAACTTGCACAGATTGCAGTCTGATGCGCATCATCACACTGCAACACAATCTGGGCATTATCTTAATTTAGCCAATCAATCCACGTTATTCGACACGTAGTAATACATCCGTTGGCTTTCTCTAGATAGCTTGTGCGAATAACTTGAAAATTAATTCCTTGCGAATGAGCTACGCATAAAACTTGAACCTTATGCAAGCATTTAATTTTCAGCATTTATCCAGCTAGCTGCTGCTCCATCCGCAGTGCAGGCTTAAAGCGAGCTTTAAATATAAATAATGTAGCTTACATTTAAATTAATTTGACGCTTGCATCAGTCACTCTGTTTATATTCCCCCCACACATATGTATGCTCACACTTTGGTAAATAAGGGTCATTTATATAATTTGGTTTATGCTTAGGTCCACAGTTTATCTTGTAGCTCCGTTTTTATTCAGACTCTTCTTGATTTTCCTTAATTTATTGCGGCCAATAGCAACTTATTTCATTTTAATTCAATTTATTCGCCAATATACTCGTAAAGGAAAAAAAAAAACAATAGAAACAACAAAGGGAATCATTTCAAGTATGTATTCCATGAACACACGGCCGTGGGTGTGAGCTCGACGACAGGCCAGTGCCGAGTCCTGCTGCCCTTCTCCCCTAATAGTGTCACTTAACTGCTTATCTGTTCAGATCCATCGAGGGAACTTGGCCAAATCATGCTGAAAGTTCTCTGCGCGAGTGTGCGTGTCTCCACGTGTGTGTGTGTGTGTGTGTTTGTATAAGTGCGTCAGTGTCGAGCCACACATTTCAAATGTGATATGCACGACGAATTCATTATAATTTTTCCCTCAACTGTCGCTGATTTTGTTTTTGCTTCTGTTACTGCTGCTGCTTTTATTGTTGTTGTTGTTGCTGCTGGTGCTGGCGCTGTGGCCTGCTGAGTGCGTGCCAAGAAATACACCATTCGAATTTGTAGTAGTTGTTGTTGGTGCTATTGTTGTTGTTGTAGCTCTTGCTCTTGAACTGAACGCAACGTGCTTTAGTGTCAGTCAATGTGGGTGTGCGTACGGTGTGTGTGTGTGTGTGTGTGTGTGTGGCG